TTTAACGCATGTATTTCATATTCAAAATAATTGAACTTTATATTTTCCCCAGTTTGGAAGACAATGAATGAATTTGCATTTCTCCTACAATATCTTTGAAGTTAAAATTGGCCTTTTTGTGTTGTACCTCAGCCTTCTGAGTTGAGAAACATTAGCATAGCAAGAATGGTCCAGTTGGAGAGGAGAAGAAAAGAATAGCAAGTATGGAACTGGAGAAGAAAAAGAAGCCCTATCTATGCTCTCCTGTTTTTATTTTTCAAAATAAAACCCTTAACTTTGATCCAAATGATTGCAGTGTTTTCCTGCCTGCTCCAAAGTCTGATGTCCACAAAGCAGTTTCAATTATCATTTTAAAATGTGTGTATGATCTTGTTATGTCCCTCCTTAAATTCCTTGTATAATTTTCTCTTACACTTAGAAAGTCATTCACACTTTTCCGTAGCCTAAAGGTGATCCGTCTTCTGGTTTCTCAGATCTCCCTTCTTAGTCTCTGCGTGACACACCAAGGCTTTTTCAACTTTAGAAATTTTCCAGTTTACTTACTTACATACCCTTTCTTCTCTGAAGCTCACGCCTGGATTCTCAGCTTTCGGGGTCTCAGCGCAAAACTTACATTGCGGAGAGATGTTTCTTTGCTAATTTATTTGAAAGTGTTCTTCCATCTCAACTCTAGCCGGTGCTCAGAACTTTGTTCCCTCGTACCTTCTAGCACTTAGCACCATCTGAAGTTACTTATCTTGATCATTTACTTATTTCCTTCAGTAAGAATATAAGCAGATAGAAAGCAGGGTGTTTTGCTGCCTTGGGCACATAAATATTCTCATTGGCTGCCAGAGTGTCTGGTGCAGAGTTGATGTGCAATAAATATTTGCTGAATAACTGAATGAATGAAGTGAGAAATTTGAATATGACTGGAGTAATGGATTTATGTGTATTTTCTTGAATAGGGTGATGTAAACCCTAAAACGTTTAGGATATTCATTTCATCTGTGAAAAGTTTGCTTCATGGCAATAGAAGGAAGTGACACTAGAAAGACTGAAGCCAACTCCTGGAGTTATTAAATGCCATGGCACAGGCTGTGGAATCTGTTTTGTGGTCAAAGGATAGCTACTGAAGATATTTTTATAGCCAATGTGTGCTAGAGAAATACCTCCTTTATTACTAGCTATGGAAAATGATTTTTGTGTTAAGACAACCTCATTCACTCACCAGTTTATGACAGAGTACTTCTGCATTGTTTACCCAGGTGTTGATTTAGTCAGTGCTCATTTCTTGCTCCCTGCAGCATGACTGCCACGTACTGTCCTACTTCCGCACTGCCAGGAGAAAATGTTTGCCTTGGTTCCTCGCAGCCTGCATTGAAATGACCTGGAGGCTCTTAAAGACTTTTCTTACTCAGATTTCTCACTTTACAGGGGACAATGGCTTCCTTAGAAGTTTGATAGCATCTTGTCAAATAATTCCCCTTTCTAGAGTTGTTCTTTGTTTTTTTTTGTTGTTTGTTTGTTTTTTTGTTTTTTTGTTTTTTTGTTTTTTTTTTTGGTTTTTCTCCGGTACCGGGAACCAAACTCACGACCTTGCACATGCCAGGCAGGCGCTTTTGCCGCTGAGCTAAATCCCTGCCCCTTGAGTTGTTTTTTGTACAAAATTTTATTTTGCTAATGCATAGGCTTTCCCTCTCCTGTGGGTTTTTTTTTGTTGTTGTTTTGTCTTAGTACCAGGAATCGAACTCATGACTTTGCACTTTCCAGGCTTGTGCTGTGCCGCTGAGCTGTATCCCCGGCCTCCTGTGGTTTGTTTTAATTATGTTTTAAAAGAAGTCCAGTTTGGAGCCTTTACATGCAGTTTGCTTTTGGTTTATGTCAATGGAGTAGTAGGTTGTTCCTTCCTTAACTGAAACCTGCTACTTACAAGGCTTTGTAATAATATCCACCCAATAACACGACATTGTGCGTAGTATATTCATGTTGACTTGGTCCTTTCCAGCCATGTCCAATGTGTGAATCTAGCTGCTAAATGGAGTATACATATATCAAGCTTTTAGTTAAAAACTGTGGTCTATTTTATAGATTCTGCTCCCAATTCTAGTTTCATGAACTGGTTTAAAATAATTTAAAATCCAGGCCCAGTTCATGGAGAAGTTTTGTGATTCAATGGTCCATTGTGGAATGACCTTTCTATTTATAGGGAGAGAATGATATAATGTTCCATACAAGGCCCTAAAGTGGGAAAGTACCAAGTCAAAAGGCCAATGTGAACAAATTTAAGAAAAGGAACCAGTTTCTTGATATTTTAGCTGAGTATTTTCAAGAGTCATTGAATCACATTTGTCTGTATCGAAACTCTCATTGTGAAAGATAACTTCAGATATAGTTTTAATAAATTTACTTCCTTTTAGTACTGTGTCGTTTCTGGGGCACATTTACATGGAACATACGTTTTCATTTATGTGTTAAAGATATCGATAGTTCTTTTCTCTTTTCACAGACACCATTGCTATATCTTTCAAGTAAAGGGAAAATAAAGTATAAATTTCATAAGGGCCTTGGCTACAGAAATCCTCACTAGTATATACAAATATACTCCAACAAAGGCAGTATAAAACAGAGTATTATAAGTGTCAGTGAGGGAATAAGAATAAAATGATATTGCAGTCTTTAACCATAACTACAGATTTAGAAAAGTGTTTTTAAAGAAAACAAGATTTAAGTTTAACCTGGAAAAGTATGTTACTTTTTTTTTTTTTTTGGTACTGGGAATCGAACTCAAGACCTTGCACTTACCAAGCAGGCACCGTGCCATTGAGCTACATCCCCAGCCCAAAGGTGTGTTACTTTTCATTAGAAAAATAGTGTACACATGTTCTCCTGTTCTTTTCTAACTATGTCCAATGAGTGAACTGAATGTGAAGATTCATGAACAAAGCTTCTCTAAATCAGTGCAACAGATGGAGCGAAGGCATAAAGTAGGAAAAAGATTAACAAAATATTTACTTATGTTCCATCAACTTTATTTATTTATTTATTTATTTATTTTTGGTTTTTCTCTGGTACCGGGAACCGAACTCACAACCTTGCGCTTGCCAGGCAGGCGCTTTTGCCGCTGAGCTAAATCCCCAGCCCCTCCATCAACTTTAATGTCTGCTCTAACCGAGTCAGTGTTAGTCAGTGCAAATCTGCTTTACTCCCTCTTTATAGTTTTACTATTACCAGGAGACAGCTTTTACCAAGCATAAATCCCCATAAATCCCTAGGATCCTTATAAATCATGTAGTCTTTGGAGATACAGCTTCTACTCCTCATTAAAGGGGCATATTCACATCCTTGAAACTGACTTATCGTTTGTATGTTATATGCTATCACTCAGTTTTTATTGCTGTAGTGATTTCTGAAACATATTTATGTAGACTACACAATTAAGTCCTTCCAAAATCCTATTTAGTAGAGGGTAGTATTCCATTTTTATGAACATTTATTTTTCTTAAGGGAGAAGTGAAGCACAGATATTTAAATAACTTGTTCTGGGTTCCCTTGGCCAATAAATGTTAACCTACGCAAAATGTAGAATCCTTTCCTTTTTTTTTTTTGCCTCACTACCTGTATCATTGTCACTACCATACATAAATATTTAAGAAATTAATACGTATCTATACTGTTGTGTAAGGAGCGGAGAAAATTAAACCTGAGAAAGAACTGAGATGCAAAATCAGTTTTTTGAGCGTCAAGACGATGTTGAGAGCAAAGAATTGAGGACAAAGAATAAAAGCAGTAAGGTTAGTCCCAGGCAATAGTTAATGAAAGGAAGCCTAGTAGTTAGGAATAGGAAAGTTAAATGAAAGAAGGAAAGATGCCACTTGTATTAGACAAAATTAAGGATACCAGAGCATAAAGCAAGTCAGTGTATGTTTTCTGTGGTGAGAGCTTGTTGTTTACACATTTTTAGGTACAGTCACTGTGGATTGTGAACGCACTATTTCTTTCTAAGTTTTCATCTTTAAGTAGCTAAAGTGTCAGAAGAAACCCAGTCGAATACTATGTGGCGCCCTGTGATTTTGTATTTACTTTTTATAACTGACTTTTATTTCTGGACACTTCAAAATAGATCCAACATATGTTTGATTTCACAATTGAAAAAGACGTCTAATGTGAATGTTTATTTTTCTGACATGAAGTAAATGTATTTTTCAGTAGCCATTCTCCATGACTAATGCCTAAGTTAAAGTATCTTTTTTAGTTTTTTTCCCATACGGGGAATCGAACTCACGACCTCGAGCTTACCAGGCAGGCACTGTGCCACTGAGCTACATCCCCAGACCCGAGTCAAAGTATCTTAAATCAAGTGAATTCAATTTCATTTTGCTAATCCTTGCTTTTCCTGTGGAGAGGGGTGTTAAATAGAAGAAGAAAATGGCAGTGCCTCTGTAGTGATTATTAAAAATTTTTCCTTTCCTGTCAGTGAGAATCAAAGTTAGAAATTTAGCATCTCTTATGCAGTAGAATAATTTACTCCTTTCAAACTTTTATCCTTTACCTTTGAAAGCCTGGGAGGAAAAATTTATCTGGTCCCATCCTTTGGAAAATGAGAAAATTGTTTGTACTCTGCTTTTCAGGATTAATAACAAAATGGAGTGAAAAAAAGAAAAAAGCACAGAACAAAAATGTTAAAAACATGGACTGGAGGCACACAGCCTTGGCAGTTTTTTTTTTTTTTTGTCTGATTAATCATAAAACAAATATAAGCACAGAGACTCAATTATCTAGAAAAGAGGAGACAGAGAATAAGTTTGGCACAAATCCTGTTTATTTTTGCCAAAGTCAAAACATCTGCCTATCATTTCAGGACACATTGCTTATTAACTTCCTAGCACTTAAATATGGTAGTTGGATATCTATTAAAGGGGAATATATATATTGCTATGAGACTTTGAAGTGATCTCTTCTTTCCGAGATTGATTTACCGATATTTGCTTTCATTTCATCCTTTTGCTCCCCCTCTACAGCTTGACCAGGTAGAAGAGGCAGTACAGGCAGCCCACACGTTCTTCATGGCCAACCCCGAGCACATGGAGATGCAGCAGAACATTGAGAATTACAGAACTATGGCTGGTGTTGAATCATTCCAGTTGGTAGATCGAGAGGCCAAGCCACACTTGGTGAGTTCTTGGGACCCTTTCTTCTGTGACGTGGAGCTAAGTGCTCGTACGTTTCCTTTGACTCAAACATACTCATGTGAATGTGCGTCTCGAATTGACTTTCTACTCTCAGTAACGTTTTTGTGTTTTCATATTTCTCCGGTGAACTTTGTCATTATCAGGTTGAAAGACAGAGAACAGTTTTATATTTTAAAGTAAAAATGCAAAGATTTCAGTTGATGTTTTGAACCTCTGCATCCTTCTCCATGCCTCAGCTCCTTTTTCATACTTTTATTGTTTTTTAAGGAGGGTCTTGCTAGGCTGGCCTTGAACTACTGAGCTCAAATGACCCTGCTGCTTCAGCCTTCTGACTGTGAGAGCCTGCAGCTGTGTAACTTTGCACCTGGCTTCCAGCACATCTCTTCACACCTAGGAGTTGAAGCCAACATGAATTTTTTAGGATCACTGTGGTGTCCCAGCTCTTGTTCTACAGCCTTGTTCATTGTACCTGTATTTTACAAATTCCATTTTCACAGGGCTATAGAATTCTTTAGGAGAAAGTGTTACCTGACATCCCATAATGGAAGAGCTTCTTTCTGTATTTCCAAGTTTGGGCATAGCCATTCTCAATGTGCAACCTCCATAACTGCAGAAACGGATAAGAGAAGATTTTAGACGCAAGGCTTTCTTTATTACCGATTTAATGGGCAAAGCCTGAAAGTGGGTATCATTTCCATTCACATCAGCGCTTCTGCACTTTTTCCATGGCCCCACTTGCAGGCAGAGTGACTTGAAAGCACAGTCTTCTGTATGCTCAGGATGAGGTGATTGGCACCATAGCATGCTACTTGCTCAGGAAGCCTGTCTCATCCATAGTTATTTGAATCCAGGGAAATAGTAGCTCACCCACTTTTTCATTCCTCCATACTCGACCTTCTTAAACACCCTTCTCTTTGCAAATGCAGCACTTTCTGTTTTCCCAGGAGAGCTACAGTGCAGCAGTGAAGCATTATGAGGCGGATGACTTTGAAGAGGCTATCAAGTACTTTGAAAAGGCTTTAAGAGAATATTTCAATGAAGATATGGAGTGCAGAGCCCTGTGTGAAGGGCCTCACAGATTTGAAGAATATGAGTACTTAGTATATAAAGCTGGTCTCTATGAAACCATTGCAGGTAAAGCTGACTTATCTCATTATTTGTTTTCTTATTATAAAATACTACGTGTGTTCTTTAAATATATTCCAGCATTACAGAAGTATGTAAAGTGCAAAAGACTCTTACCTGTCTGTCCCTCCCTAGCTCTTACCGATAAATCTGTATAGTTACAATTTTAAAATTGTTCTCCTATTTGTAGATATCTATGTATTTATCTCTAATTCTTTTATTGCATTTTTATAAAAGTAGGGTAATAGTATAAATAGTGTTTTTCAATATTTTTTTTATTTTTGCTTTTATTTTATGCTTAACAATGAATTGTGGATTTCTTCTCATGTAAGTACAGATAGATTCACCTTCTTATACTTACTGGCTAGGTAATATAACACTTCTTAGGTGTATCATAATTTATTTGACCTGTCTACATTGTTTCCTTAGGCCTCTGCCAGATCCATTTGTTTGTATTTTTATGAGCATTGTTCATTAGAACGCCAATTTTATGTGTGTTTTACATTCTCATTGCTGCTTAGTTCTCTACACTGAATCTTTTCTTTGCGGCTGGGAAAGTTTTCATTTATTATGGCTTACTGTGTTATGGTTTCTGGGGCTATGTATGTGCCTTGGCCACTGCCCTTACATTTGCCGCGCTTCTGTGAATGTCCAGGAAGAGCTGTGCTACTCCATGTTGGGTCCAAGGGCAGTTCTTTCCAGATTCTTGGTGTCCTGAGGAAAGAAGTGGACAAGACACACAGAGAAGGTAGTAGGAACTTACATTTATTCAAAGTGGAAAAGAAGAATCCTCACAGAGTGAGAGCTAGCTGGTAAACAGACTCACAGTGACTATAGGGATCAGCAAAAAGAGTATTTTGTATCTGGAATTCCAGGACTGACTTCTTCTTCATGCAGATAAAGCAATGGGACACTTGTCCTATCAGAAACTCACTAGTTTCTCTTAGTTCATTGAAAAGAAAGGTTTTTGCTAATATCATTTGGAGAAATTTTCATTCTCATATCTTATACTCTGAGTAATTACTTTAAAGATAACATGCAACGTGTTCACTACTGTTATTTTCTTATTACATCGTTATGAAATTTTCTTTCTATAAAAGAAATAAAAGAAAAAAAATAATGAACTCCTCCCCCCCCAAAGAAACCCACACATAAAACAAACTCACTTGGCCTGGTGCCAGATTTAAACTGCTCTCGCAAAAGACTCACTTGGCTTCACACCCGATGAAGACGAAGAATTGAAAACAGTACTTTTCTGATTGGTTCTGCATATAGTGGTCAGGAGATTCACTCTGGATTCTGGATTCTGTACATGTGCCATGGGTCTCCGTGACTTTGTCAGATTCTATTCAGTTGTTTGGCCAGTTTTGCCCTAGCCCCAGTCTACTTCACTGTGACACATATCCTAGATCTGGGCTAAGAAACTGACTGAAAACTTTTCATAGATTAATAATTAGTGATTTGTTCCATGTAGTGATCTCTAGCATGTAATCAAATAAAACTGATGTTCTAATAAGCAGTGGTCGTCAAAGTACAGCATACTGATTTCTGCAAAAGAGTAGAGGCGTCTAACTCAGGTTCTTTAATTTTTAACATAACTACCGTTACCAAAACCACAATTTTTAATAAAGAAAAGTGATTTTTTTTTTGTTTGTTTTTTTTTCTGGTACCGAGAATTGAACTCATGACCTTATGCTTGCCAGGCAGGAGCTGTGCCACTGAGCTAAATCCCCAGCACCTAAGAAAAGTGATTTTTTTTTTTAAAAAAAGAGCTTTAGTCCATCCAAAAACCAAATATTATCAGAAAAAACAGAAATATAGCAAGTGTCTTGGGAATTTAAAGCATATCCAAATTACTATGAGAAGGAAATTTTACAGTATATTCCCACACAAGTGTCTTGGATCTCAAGCTTATTAAAAACATATTAATTGCACAATCACATTTGAGATAGAAAGCAGGCAAGGAACACAACTCATAAAAAGTAATATGACAACTCTCACTATGTAAATTTTGTCTAGTTCAAAATTGTCCTAAATTAGGAAGAAAGCTGGCACTTGAAGTACAGAATGTATTAGAAAAGCAGAGTGTTTGAATTTAGAGTTGGAAGAGACATTAAAATTTGGAGGAAATACAAATAGCTGCTGAATGCAGTTATTTACCCATGGCCTTGCGTACTGAAGCCCCGAAGGGTATCGTTTTGTCTCTCTCATTTTGCTGCTATTTATATTCTGTTCTGAAAATATTTTCATTCGGATTTTTTGTTTGGTGGGGGTGCTTTCCACCTTTTCCTTTTGCTTGATATTTGGAATTAGAAGAGATGCATGTATGTGAAAAAGGGTTTTGCAGAGAGATAAGCAGGAGAAAACAGTTGAAGACTACTTGTTGTTTTTGCCATATGAAATAAAACAGCTAATAATTCATTTCTAGCATGTAACCAAGCAAAGAAGATGAATTCATCCCCTTGCAAAGCCCAGCTGGGATTAATGAGTAGTGAACTTTGGAGATCCGATTAGCTGTGCTGTGTAAGATTGACTTGGCCAGGTTATATGAAACTGGCACTCACATGCACACACACACACACACACACACACACACACAACCCAGACACTGCCTGTTTCCTTCCTGTTGTGCTCTGAGGTCACTCTTCAAGATCATCCAGAGTCAAGCTGAGCTCAGACTAAACACAGCACCTCTTGAAAGAAGGCAGAGATATGGTGAATCAAACTGTACAGCCATGGCATCAAATGGTTATGTCCACCTCCTCTGGGCAACCTACTTGGCATAAGTTTGAATGAACCTTTCTCTCCCTGGAAAGACTACTTCCAACTTCAGTGTGAAAATGAAAGTTAGGCAAATATGGGACGTACTTTCTTCTCTGTGACATTAGCCCCTTGTGTTTCCTCAGCTCATTTTCTGATGAGAATGAGCCTAAAATTAACAAGGGCATGTAAAGCTTTGCTCATCAGGATATACCCCGATTGCAACAGTGAAGAGTGCAAGTAGAAAGGGAGCAAGTAGAAAGTGGAAAAATATTTATTCAAGTTCATTGTTGTTGGTGAGAAGGGTCTCTTACTATGTTGCCCAGAATAGTCTGCAGCTATAGACATTCCTTGTTTAGCAGTGGAACTTCTGGTCCTGCGACTATCTCATTAAATCAATTGGTTGCTAAATGAGAAATTGTATGTAGTATGTACATTACAATATTCAGAACAAAGAAATGGTCAAAGGAAACTCCAACTTGATGATTACTTTTCTTTGCCTAACTCTTACATGCAGTACTGTACTGTATAATAGCACATAAAACTACAGTACAATTCCATACAGTACAATGAGCAAAAATTATAGTACTGCATAAACAAGGTATGCTTTATTAAGAAAAAGAAGACATTGAGGCTACAAAGAAGATGTATAGAACTGTACAAAATAACTAGGTTGTACATCTCAGTGGCAGGTTGTAAGTCTGAATAGTAGTTAAACAGGGAGGTTGATAAACAAGGAATACCTTGTACTTCATTCAAATAATCTTTGGTCCTTAATCCCTGGAGTACCTGGGATACAGGTGTGCTACACCACATCCAGCTCCTGTCAAAGTTCTTTAGTTTTCATTCCTTCCCCTACTTTACCAGTCCCTGGTAAAGATTATACAGTGTTCCCAGTATGCATTAGTATATGCAATGTCCAGGTGATGGACTGATTTGTAACGAGATAGAATGGGGTCCTGATCAATGGATACCAATAAAGTGCTTTTATTACCCCTTTAGAAAAATTTGGCTTGGAAATATTAGGAAAAGGAGAGTTTTGCTTTACTTCTCCATCTGAACTCTGTACATACATGGTGGCTCTATTCTCTGAACACTTTTTTAACCTCACTAAGATGAGATGTTCAGTCCTGATGATCCAAGACACTTCAGGCCCTCTAATGATCCACAATGGAGCCTGGAGATCGTTAAGTAAGAAAGTCCACATCTTGCTGGGTATGAGTACAGTGAAATGCTCTGTCACTGTCAGACAGGGTAAAAAAAAGAGACAGGAAGAAAAGAGTGCAGCATGTAAACAAGACCGTGAGCCATAAGGTTTGGGGTCTGCTGCTCCAGTCACCCCTGGGAGTAGCTGGTGGTAAGTCACTGACTTTGTAAGTCTTGAAATGAGGCTGAAAATGAGTTCTCCCTGGGGTATGGCAAGGGATGAGTGCCTTGAAGCTGGACTTGTGACCAGGCGTGGCTTTCACAGCCTGCAGGACTCACGCTTGTCTCTTGTCTTCCAGATCACTACATGCAGGTGCTGGTTTGTCAGCATGAGTGTGTGAGGGAAGTCGCCACGCGCCCCGGCCGCCTCTCCCCCATTGAGAACTTTCTTCCTCTGCATTACGACTACCTACAGTTTGCCTACTACCGAGGTAAAGCATGGATCAGCTCTGAAGGCCTGTGGAGGTGGTTTTTCATTACCGCAGCCATTACCTTTTCCTCATTCAGCTCTCTGCTTTCTTTACTTTGTCAGTGTATTGGTTACCTTTCCTGTGGATGGGACAGAATACCTGACGCCCGCCATATACAGGACAAAAAGTTCATTTGGCCACAAGGTTTCAGCCCATGGTAGGCTGGCTCCAGGGCAGAGACATCATAGCTGATGGGCCTGGGGGAGTAAAACTGCTCTCTTCATGGCCACTGGAAGGCAGAGAATGGGCCGAATTCCACAGAGGAAGGGCCAGGGCCAAGGTGCTATCCCTAAGACCTGCGCAGACACACCCGGAAGTGTGCTTTACTAATCTGCTAGTCATCTCTGAATCGAGTCAAGTGGACAATTTAAGGTTATAGTCTTCAAAGCAACCATTTATGCAGTTCCTCCCTCATCTCACTTAACTGTAGCTCAGGATGAGCAGAGCAGAAGGTGACGCCACAGGAGACAAAATGCAAAATGTAATAGCAACACAATTTCTTAAAATTATACTAGACTGGTGCTTTTCAATTTTTAAATTTAATTTTAATAGAGAGCCATCCACATGGATTCAAGACCAAATACTGTAAAATCTTCCTTCTCTTCCTTACTCCACAACCCAATATCCTAGCATTCAACTCAGCTTCTGACTTATTCTTGCAGAATTGTATACACAGATAGCAAATCTATACGCACGCTCACAGAAATTTATTTCCCCATATTTCACACAAAAGTCAGCCTATATTTATACTATTTTCTACATTTGTTTTCACTTTATATCTGACAGTTGTCCTAAGGTAGACCTGTGACGTTGTCAAGTTTTGGCAATTTTATATGGTTCTTTTTAAGTTTACCAGTATGTAGAGATCTTCCCCATCCACTTTTCTTTACATCTGCATATTGTTTTATTGCAATTTATTTCAGTTTTTTCTTTGTTGAGAAGAAGTTTGTTCCTTAGATAACATTTCACATATGTCATGCTGTAGCTATATATAATTATCTATAGGATAAATATCTGAAAGTACGATGACTGCATCAAAAAATTTATTCATTTATAGTTTTGGTAGACATTGTCAACTTTTACTCTACATAGATTATTTTCTATTGCGTCGGTGTATAGTCTGTTTTTGGTGGGGGTGACAGGTGCCAGAGAATGAGGTGCCTGCAGAAGAAAGGAAAAACAAGAGAGAGACAAAGTTATGGGATCAGGGGGCTGCAGCCTGTCATACTGAAGCCTCCATTACCATCCTCATTAGCCTTTTATTGGGATACAAACAAAAAGCAGCAACAGGATAAATGGGAGGAATAATTAACAGAATTGGCAAGGATAATACAACTTAATTATCACAGGAATGAGGCTTGACTTAGCTAGCCATTATGTTATCATTGCTGTGGACATACCCGAGCAAGGCATCTAGTGTTGTCCCAGCGGCTTACCACAGGGACACAAGCCCTGTTATCATTTCCTTTTGCACTAATGTTTTTGCAAGATTTCCTCCAGAGTCAATCATATGGCTTGGTCAGGCCTGAAGTCCCAAATAGATAATACATTGAAAAATGAACTAAAGAATGTCCTTCTCCACACTATTGCTCATAAATAGAGTATATTAATCAAATTTTATATAGTCACCAATCCACTCGTGAAAATTGGTACCTCAAAATAGTTTTATTTTACTAAGATACTATCATTTTTTATGTTTAAAACAATAGAATTCAAGATGCTGAAATTGGTCTTAGAGATCATGTTGTCTAATATCTTTACTTTGTAGAGAAATGACTAAGGTCACTTAGCTTTCTGACAGGTCATAATTCCCAGGTCGTTGCTCCTCTAATTGTTTCTCAATATTTCTAGAATCAGTGTCTTGCGTAGAAGTCAGTATTAAAGTATTTCCTTTTTAAAATAACAGAGGGAAAATAAAAAGCCAACATTTTAAGGCTACTTTGGAAAATCCTCCCCCTTTCAGAAGCAAAGTATTACTCACTGTCTTGGCGCCTGATGGCAAATAATAAATCATGTTCTTCTCATGAGGAATGAACGCAAAGGAGTTGAGAGAGTTGCCTAATTGTTGTCATTCTTCTTAAAAATCAGAACTGTCTTTGAGCCTTCAGAGCCAGTGTATGTATCTGGGCGGAACTTCTTTAAAAACAAATCCAGGCTGTGATCTGTGCCTTTGTAATAGCCAAATATTTCCAACAGAGGGTTCACAGTTGAAATATTTTTGATTGTTTCTTTTAGTAGGCGGCCACTGTTTAGGTTGATGCAGTGATAGTGAGAGGTCAGGTGGGGTTGGGGATTCTCCAGAGTATTCCGTAAAAGTACCAGTTGACTACAAACTTAACAGCAATGAGAAATATCATTTTAAAATTACTTACGCTACTCATACATTATATACAAAAGGATGCTTCTTTGGTGTAGAAGGTCACCCTCTGAATGTGTAGTTAATGTAAATCAGTACAAAAATCAAAGTTAATTCCTGTAGTTCTGCTATGTATTTGTATTAAATAAATTTTGCACAAAAATCTTCAGGTAAAGACTTTTTTTTCTCTCAAAACCCCATAACTTTATTCAACTAAAGGCAGGAAGGTTGCGGGGGGCAATAAAACCTCACAGAAAATGCAAAATGATAAATTAGAATAATTTCAAACATGTTAGTAGTTACAATAATTATAGCTGAAATTAGCCTACTAAAATATCAAACTATTGGATTGAATTTAAAATGCAGCTATATTTTTAAGAGAATAAGAAAGCCATAAACATGATACAGAATTTCAAAACAAGATGATAGGAAATTAACAATGGTTATTATAGTGCATATTGTTAACTTCCAAGTAGTTGTTCAGGTTATGAAATAATTGATCAATTAAGCATTAACTGTTCCTTTCAATAAACCAATAGAAATTAGTAGTACAGACTTTTAAAAATGTGTGCAAAACCTGGAGCACCAAAGCAGACCAAAGATGATCTCTTTTCATATGTCAAATCATATCTTTCTTTATGTATATTTCTGTTTCCTCTGCTCAGTCTCAATTTATATGCTGTTTCATTGATGATTAATGCAGATATCCATAGACATGTCAGTGCCTCTCTTTAAAGTCCTTTGGGCAGAGAACTGGACTGATCATGACCTATGTATTCTTGGTCTTTCAGTTGGTGAATATGTAAAAGCTTTGGAGTGTGCCAAGGCCTACGTCCTGTTCCATGCCGATGATGAGGATGTGCTGGACAATGTAGACTACTATGAAAGTCTGTTGGAGGATAGCATGGACCCAGCATCCATTGAGGCTAGAGAGGTAAGGCCAGTGTTCTGAGATATGCTTTTGGGAGAACTGACAGAATTATAACACTGCCCTTAAGGATATCTGACAATTTAGAGAAGGTTCTAGAACTTAATCCTTTCAAACTCTTTCAGACCAGAAGCATATTTTTTCACACAGGCTAGCTTGTGAAAGTACGGCTACATGGGGATACGGTTTTACAGCTCTGAATATTTCTGTTAGCTCATTGGTCATGATCCAATAAAAACTATTTTTACTTGACCACCTACCATATTATTACCACCTAGTGTGGGTCCTTGCTTCAGTTATAAGGCAGATTAAAACTGAGGTATTCAGCATGAATTTACAGGAAAAAAAAACGATATTTGGAAAGTAGGAGAAAATGCTAGCGGGTAAAGCTCTGACAAAGATCAAGCCAGCCTCTAACAAAGAAAGGGAAATAGGGAAGGGGTTTCTCTTCGAGGAAATTAAGTGAGCACAGGTCCGAGGATCAGACTGGCTCAACAAAGAATGGGAACCAGTTTTCTGGGGTGCTGTGGTGGTGCCAGACTTGTCTTGCTTTTAGTTTCCCACTGAGCACTGGTAGGTCAAGTCACCCCAACCCCGACCCTCTCTAACCCTTATGCTGACCTTGACCCTGACCTTGACCCTAACTCTAACCCTAACCCTAACTGTGGCTGCCTCAAAAGAAAGCATAAATCGAGCTTTTACTGAATAGCAAGTTAAGGACCCAGGAGTGAATTTGTCTTCTGTCCTGCTAATGATTTCTAACTCTGTCAATATGTCTTAGATGTTATTTAGTATAAATACTTCCTTTCTTTTTCTCCCTTTTTTCTCCCCCTAGGATGCAGCCATGTTTGTGAAACGTCATAAACTTGAAGCTGAACTGATAAAATCAGCTGCCGAGGGTCTGGGATTTTCATACACGGAACCAGTAAGATAAAAATAGAAAAATGAAATGTTTACTAAAACAGTTTCTCGGTGGAGTTGTTTATGGTTTCATTCCCCACCCCCATTTGTTGAGAGTCTCAGTGTCCAGCTTGCATTAAAAATCGAGGAGGAAGGGTCTTTCCTCAGTAGATGAACTTTAAAAATTTTTGGTAGATGTCTATGCCATTGATCCAAAGTCAAAGCAAATATATTTGATAGAAGTATTTAAATGCAATTCATTGGCCACGGAATTATTTTATTTTCTCAAATTTGGTATGAACACTTCGTATTTCCCAGCATGCTTGTTATCTGCAAATTTAGGAGACTTCAAAAGGAACAAAGTCAATCACATCGCGTCCCACTGCCCTTCCTCCGCATCCCAGGCTGCTTGTAATCATTCCTCATTGGGAGACGGCATTTACAGAGTTAGTGCCGTGGTGCAGACAGATTTGTTTGCTGATTTTTTTTTTTCTGTATAGGAAAGCATAAGTCATTTCTGTGTTTGTCCAGCTTTTAAGATTATTTCTGGCTGCATACATAGAATTGATGTACTATAACTCTTCTTCTGCTGCTGGATATTTGAATTATTTCTGTTTTTGTTTTTTTTTTTTTCTTTCTGCCATACTTAATGCATTAAGCACTTTTTTCTCTCTCTCTTGAACAGTAACCTTAGACTAAATCCCAGTGGAATTTCTCTGCCCTCAAAGGATATCAGGTTTTAAAATTCTTAAACCTAAATTGTTTTCCCAAGGACGTGTTTCTGATACCTGCACTTGCTCCTAGGGTTGCGCAAGAGTATCAGTTTATCATCAACTTCTCATCAGTAAAAAAATAATAGTTTAAAATTACTTGTATTACACTTGTCTTTCTCCCTTCCTTCCTTCTTCCCTTTCTCCCTTCCTTCCTTCCTTCCATCTTGCCTGCCTGCCTTCCTCCCTCCCCTCCCTCCCTTCCTTCCTTCTTTCCTTCCTTCCGTCTTGCCTGCCTGCCTTCCTTCCCCCCTTCCTTCCTCCCTTCCTCCCTCCCTCCCTCCCTTCCTTCCTTCCTTCCTTTCTTCCTTCCATCTTGCCTGCCTTCCTTCCTTTCTCCCTCCATTCTTCCCTTCCTCCCTATCTTCTTTCGTTCCTTTCCTCTCTCCATCTCTTCTTTCTCTTTCTTTTTCCCTTCCCTCCTTCTTTTATTTCCTTTCCATTTCTTCTTTTTCCTTTTGATATAACTCGGGATTGAGCCCAGGGCCTTCATACAAAGCTACATCTCTAGCCCCTTTTTATTTTTTATTTTGAGACAGGGTCTCAGTCATTAAGTTACTCTGGCTGGGTTTGAACTTCCAGTGGTCCCATGTGAGCCTCCCATAGTGCTGGGTTTACAGGTGTGCACCACCACTCTCAGCCTTACTTTTCTTTTT